AAATTTTGGTATTGAGACTGTGGATGTGGGTATTGATTGCGACTGTCGTCTGCATGTCAGTCATGGCTGATATAAGGAGAAAGGTGTTGTTTTTTTTATTTTATACAGTGATTTTGTATACAATCGGTCTTCTGACACAATATCGATTTTTATTGGTTTTTGTTTTACCAAGAAAAAAACGTTCTTGAAGGTTCCTCCTTCATTAATATATATGAAAATATTTTTGATGTTAGAATAGTGGGACGAACAGGTTCTAGAATGGAGTCAGGTACCCAAACTTTAATTTGGCTTTCAGGTGACTTCGCTTTTTTTTGCAGTTTAGCTGTAGCTGTCTGTATTTCTCAAATTAATATAGATTGCAACGAATTCCACCCATTTCTCATTTCCAGTTGGTAAAGGACTTGTTTGAATGTGCGAGTGCTAGGCATTGATTAACAGAGCGTTACTCCTTTTCCTTTGTTTAATTAGCTGGTCCTTGGCAAAATAAAAAAGTGGGTGGGAAAGTAGAAGTCTATTCGCTTGGTTTTTTTTCGTTCCCACTCATAGGAGAGCAAGAACACTAGTCTGGTCTAAGAGCCATTGCCTGCTTTCAGTTAAACATATAGGTCATGACTATGCTGTAGCGATATTCCAACTTTGAACACCCTTCGGCCATCGCTGTGTTTACATTGCCAAGAACTGTGCAATCTCTTCTTGTTGCGGAAATACGATTTGTTTCCTTTATTTCTGTGCCATTTCCTCGACTAATATCGTTTCTGCGGGGCAAGGCTCTTCGATGCTCTTGAATCTGGGGAGTCTGAGATTTTCCACGTTTTACACTCGGACTCATCGAATTTTGCTACCATGTGAGTTGATCGGTGCTGTTGTGCTGTGAGGTGGTTTGTGTTGTATGAACTCGTGAAGTGGTACTAATATAAGTAGTCTATTTGCTTCTTTTACTAGGCCAACGAGTTCCATGCATGCTATTTCGATATTTCTCCTTTGAGGTACCATGATACTTTTTATAGATTACCTTAAGTTGGGTTTTGGTAATCCAACAGGCTAGCTACCGTACCGTCCGTCTGTACTGGCAATGTTTCAACATCCCTAATCATAACCTGTCGTTTGGACCTTCTTTTTGTGGATTTAAACAAAAAATTATGGTGGCACCCTTAGTCAGTACTCCTGACACTTAAATTCCGGTTGAGTACAGGTCTTTTGAGCCTTAACGCCTTGTTTTTCCATGCTTCTCTACAGCTGAAATGCCTCACGCTTATGTTCGGAAACCTGCTCTTTCGTGAAAATCTTTGAGTTCCAGTTGGATGTCTATCCAAGGTAGGGAAAGGTTAAATACTTGTATTTTATAGGGTACGGCTATAAATGGACATATCACTGGAAAATCAATCATCGCTCATATAGAACTTTTGTATGTTGATCGCGCTTAGTTCGTGTTTTTTAAATCTTACATCATACCTTACCTTCCCTTATAATCAGTTACACTCAATTTATGCAAAAAACTTTTTGATTTACAGCATGCAATAGATTCAAACAAGATCTGGTCACTGGTTCCTAAATGAAAATTGGATGTAAAAGAGGAAGCTATGGAGCCATTTGAGGAAAACCTCTATTCAGGCTCCTGCTCCTGATGAACCGATTATAATCGTTGGTGGGGGTCTCGCTGGCCTATCAGCAGCTCTAGAAGCTCTCAGTCGGAATGCAAAGGTGATAATAATCGACGGTGAAAAAAATCTTGGAGGAAATTCCGCGAAAGCAAGCAGTGGTAAGACGACATTCAACATTTTGATCGTATTTTTTTTGATTCGACGTTTTCCTCCAACCTTTTCATTGTACCGTCGTCTTAGTGAGGTTACTGATAGGTGTGAGCGCTGCTGAAACCTCTACACAAAAAGCGATGGGTATCGAAGACTCCCGATCTAGCTTCTTCAAAGATACGCTCAGTGCCGGTGACCATGAGAATAATGAGGTCCTAGTCAATATATTGGTGAGTTCTATACTCGCTTTATTTCATTAGGGGTTGCTGATTCTTTGAGTATAGAAGCCTGATTTCGCCGTTCCGTACTTTGCAGCACTCTTGCTTCTCTCCATCTTAAATAAAGAAAAAAGGAACAGTGAATATCAAGCAATATTTGGATTTAATTCAATTAGTTGTTCGTATTTTTTTAACTACTTCCGAACACTTCGAACGGTTTCTTGAAGGCATTTTTTTATTCAAACCGGGGCATATTTAGGTGCTTCGAAAACATTTTTCTTAGTTCTGTAGTATTCAGTTGAACATGTTCCCTTATGACTGATATTCCACACAAGGAAGGGCTTATTCGAAATCTGACAATCAGCTGTTGAAGGGGTCTTGGATCGCATTACCAATTAGAGAGCTAGGTTCAATACCGGTGCATTGGGTTGGATTTTTAAAATTTTCAAATTGGTTCGGTTTCTTGAACGAATTTTCAATGTGTTCAGGTTGATCAGTCGGCTGATGCAATAGAATTTCTCAAAGAACTTGGTGTCAAACTTGATGACGTCAATCTATGTGGAGGTCATTCTACTCCGCGAACACATTGGTAAGTTTTAATTTTATCTTCCGTAATTTTCAGCCATTATTTTGATTCTCTATGTTTACCATCGAACGGTTTCTAGTGTAAACTTCAATGAAGCTTTGCGTACCATTCTTCCAGTATTACTAGTATAGTCTTATTAACTTCTCTTCTTTCTTATCCATAAAGCAACAGTACGAGTTCTTTCACAATTTTTGATCATAAAACCTGTCGAAGTGTCGGAGCCACCTCTGTCTGAGTGGATTCACAGAAAGACACTTCTTAGGGACGATTTGGTAAGCTTTTCGTGCCATATGTTGAAACTCATGATTTATTCCATTCTAATTGATTCTAATAAG